GCTAGGTCTCTGTAAAACCGTTGATGTGATTTGTGAAAAATGAAAACATTTTGAAAGTTACCTCGCCGGGGAGTTACGTACATTATTTCCACTGAACACGATTCACGTATACTATAACGTGGTGCCTAAAATAACATGTAAGTTACAGACTCAATTTAAAACAAGTTTAATTGTTAAATTAGCTAAATAAATTTATGGCTAATACTTTGCACGATTTATCACTCATTGTTGTGAAGTATTTCATTTTATTAGAAGGCAAAGAGTAAAATACGTTCAACAATAGGCAGATTATCACCTCCCACCATATTCCCACGCTAATAACTGACGTGATTGAAAAAAAAAATGGTGTTAGCCCACTAGCACCACTCCCCGCTCCTAGAGGTTTAATATGTGAAGTAGACCAGACAGAACAATCGCCCTTGTATCTACGTAGTTGAGAGAGATATTTTATGTTAACACAATTCCAGTATAGATCACAATTAACAACACACAATTGATGTTGTTTCTATTTATATATCATTAATTATCTCTCTTCATCTCTCTCTCTCTCTCCCTCTCTCCTAAGATTTTTGGCATCTTTATCAAACTAACACACCCACCGACACACACTCAACCACACACACAGCGACTGTCATGTTAATGTCGACTAATTGGTAAGAAAAAAAATCAAACTAACAATTGGCTTGAATTTTAAACAAAGCTCGTTTGATAACAGCCATATATGGAATGTGTGAAATGTGACTAAGTTAAGTAGTCTATGAGGTCACTAAAAGAGGGCAGCAGCAGCTTTTGTACCGGTGACATACATGCAGGGGTGGACCCAAGATCATTTGAAGGGGGGGGGGGCGTCGCAGATGCAAAGTTACCCCCACAACCATCCCGTTGGCGTGGGGATCGGGTCCCTGAAATTTTGGTATTTTAGAAGGCGAACGGTGCCATTTGCTACGGTTTAGAACTATAATTCAGCTTGCCAAAACACTAACTTCAAGAGGGGACCATCGTATAGGTAATATTTTTTTCAGAAATCAAGGGGGGGAGGGTCAAGACCCCCCCTGACCCCCCTTAACTCGCCACTGCATACATGTAAATATATAAATATAGAGTGCACAACACGTGGAAGTCGACAAAAATGTCAGTGTAAATGCAGAGGAGATTCTCGTGTTATCTCCTTCAAAAGCGCAGTGTGTTACTCAAATGCCAAACACTCAGCAAAGATAGGCTAGACATGGATAACGTATTGGATACTGAAAAAATGCCCTGATTGAATACTTGACGACTTTAATGTAGGCCCTACTGTAGATAACCTACTAAATGATACATACAGGCAAACGACATTCTTTACGATAAAATTGGGTGGTCTGCAAGCAGGGGAGAGCTATGCCAACCCTAGCAGGTTTTATCACACATATGACATCTAAAGAGGTCTACAGCGTCTTTCACTAGGACATTCCTAACTTGTCATATATGCCTTGAGGAATAAAAAGACCCGAGAGTGCTCCCCTGTTACCACACGTTCATTCTAAAAATTCATCGTAACTGGTAAATGGCAATTTAAGATCTCACGGCGCGACATCAATTAATAATAATTACAGTTTTCTAACCTAGAACAATGACAAGGATATGGATAGCTCTCTCTCTCTCTCTCTCTCTCTCCTCCTAACAGAGAGAGAGAGAGAGAGAGAGAGAGAGAGCATGCACTGGGGCTGGTTTCACCTGAGTTTTAGCCGGAAAACTGGTCTAAAGTTTTTTTACATTTAAGCCATTTAATGATATAAAATAGCGCCAAGTTAATGTACAATGTTTGTACATGTGTACTAAGTACGTCGTTATCAATATAGTGTCCTTAAGCTTAACTTGGACGATAATAAAAGATCGGTTATATGATCACGAGATTACTCTAAAATAAAGCAAAGGGAATATGAATCATCATCATCATCATCATCATTTAGAGCCTATAGTGTTCCACTGTTGGACAAAGGCGCATGCTTTTTCCATTGTTTCCTATCCTGAGCCTTGGATTTCCAGTTTGGCCAAGGTTTCTTCTTCCAAGACTTCCAGTAGTCATCTAATTCATCCCTCCATCGTTTGACCGGTCTTCCTCTTTTTCTTTGTCCATACCTTGGGGTCCATTCTGTAAGCCTGATTGTCCACCTATTGTCCTTCATTCTTTTGACATGTCCTGCCCACCTCCATTTCATTTCTTTAACTGTGAGCAGTACGTCCTTAACTTTGGTCTGTTCACGTATATGATTGCCCAAACGAAAAACTCCACGTTTTTTTTTCACCAATCAATACCAATCAATATGAGATCACATTATAATATATGAGACCACCCCGCGAGGGTCCCCTGGGCATGTCATTTTAATCGCAGGACTGTAGAGAAAAAAGTTATACCCCAAGCACGAAAAAAAAAAAAAAAAAAAAAAGGAAAGACAAACAGCTTCAATAAACGTGTAAATCGAATATTAAATTTCAAGTTTCCTTCTTTCCTTCCTTCTAGTTTCCTTAGGTGTCCATAACAAAAATAATAACGTTGAACCAAATTTCAAACAAAAAGAATAATCACGGAAACGATACTGAAAGGCTCCATTCTTATTTCGACGTCACATGGCTTCACTACGCTCCTACAGTCTTGGAGACACCTCCTCAAGTCTTTTGATCTTCATGACCGGTAAGAATTGCTTCATGGCCTGACGCTGAACAAATAAATAAAAACCAAACAAAACCAAAGGAACTATAAAATAACGCGACTATAAAGAGTTTTAATTCCTATTACGTTAATGCATGCATTACGGTCCGAAAGACGAGTGAAACTCAAGTTCAAGCTCTGCCGTGTCTCTTCTCCCATTTCTTCCCTTCTTTAACTATTTTTCCTACTGCTCTTCACTCGTGTTTTTCTTTTTCCACAGTCTTTGTTAAGTCGTCCGTGCGCATCATTTGCGTCTACATTCCTTCCGCGCCGTTGTTTGTTTACATTCTAAAGTCACGAGGTGATGGTAAATATGTCAAGGCTGTATGTCGTTATAAGATGGCGGCTCCCTTTTCAGGCTGTTTATCGTGGCAGAGAGATCATTAGCTCTGGGATAATAGTGCTTTTTTTATTATACAAATATTTGCAAGAGCAATATAAACTAATTAATTTTAAACAATGTCATTAACACAATTTACACAAAGACGAAAGACATGGAAGACAGAACAAAGAAATATAAAATAAAAATATAACAAACAATGTCGAAAACACAATAAAAATAAATATATAAATTTAGAAATTTATAAATTTAAACGGTGGATTGATCCTTGATTAAATATAGTTTCTTGCAACTTTCCTGCAAGAGCACTGAATAACTATTTCAATTATTCAGCCTACCACTTCGTCCGACTTTCAGGTGCAAACAAAAATTTATTGGGCGCGGTCTTTCAACCCGTGACCTCCACGTACACATACGAACATTCACGACACACCGAACACAATCACAACAAACACAACAAACCTTGCATTCTCCCCCCCCCCCTAAATGGGTTCCACACCCATTAAAAAAACAACTTCAAACTTTGATTGGTTCAGTAGGGGTGACACTTCTTTTGTCCAGTGTGTGTGCCTGAAGCTTTAGTTCTATTCCACGTACATATTCGGGCAGTAGTAAACTTCCAACTGGCTGCCCTACAAAATTTATTTGGTTCTCCTGATAATCCCCCCTTACCCGCTCTAACGTTACCACTATAATGTGTTGATAAAAGGGGCATTTTGGCGCGCGTGTGCGCATACACATGCACTCACACATACTGGTACAGTTTCGCACATACACAATTCACTCACGCACCCACACACACACACACAAATGCACATACAGAGACAAAGAGAGAGAGAGAGAGAGAGAGAGAGAGAGAGAGAGGTACATGTACCTGCGGTGAGAGAGGAGACGGGGAGGGGGGCTTTAACCACACAACCTGCTTTGAATAGCGTAGCATAATCACAACCTTACATCGTCCTCGCCTTCACAAGAGCAAACATGACCTTCTGTTACTGCTACACACCTTCGTGCATTTACTTACAAGGTACCTGTACATTAATTGATTCACTTTATTTTGAGGTTGGGTGCTACATAAAAGTGAACAACTAGTAGGCCTACCTGGTACATACATGCCCTGTGACATGTATACTTAAGACACACGTTTTCTTTGTTTTTATTTTATCTATTATTATTTTTTTTTTTTTGGGGGGGGGGATTCGTGGAAAAAAATCACCTTCAGTTTTCTAACATCATAACTTTTTTCCGATTTGCCGTCAAAGTGACGCTAAATATAGAGTTTGCAATCATAAATTCATTCCATTATCATATTTTATTCTCATCCCTCATCCAAGTTTCCCCAGTGCATGTCATACGGCAGTATTTTCTTCGAGCTAGCACAAAAATACGACCCTGCCTTTTACAGGTGACGTGGCCCTTTTTTAAGTTTCTGAGCAAATATAAGACTGGGTTCCCATACTTATATCGATCCATCTGGATCGACTTAACTCCCTGGGGGTTCACGCTAAATTGCTATCAGCTAAAAACGTCTGTTACGCCTACCGAATCAGCTATATATAGGACCTACACATTCATTCCTTCTATTCCGCCTTGTCGTTTGTTTACATTCTAAGGTCACGAGGTGATGATAAATATGTCAAGGCTGTATGACGTTATAAGATGGCGGCTCCCTTTCCAGGCTGTTTACGTAGCAGAGCGATCGTTAAAATTAAGCTAAAACAGGGCTAACTAGAAATAAACTTCACCAAGATACAGGAAAGATCGGGATGCAACCCAGTCACGTTACAATACTATGGCAATGGCTTCGAAAGCGCTATGCAACGTCTTCAGCGAGAACTTTCTAACGTGTCATATATGTCTGGAGGAATATAAAGACCCGAGAGTGCTCCCCTGTTACCACACGTTGTGCCTGGAATGTATTGCTGACCATGCAGCCAAGAATGGTGTCCAGAACAAGTTCTCCTGTCCCGTGTGTCGCCAAGAGGCTCCCGTACCACCAGGTGGGTTAGAAACTCTCGTGAAAAACTTCTTCTTAAGAAAAGTAACAGACTTCATGAAAGACCAGAAAGCGCCCGAGGGGAGACTTTGTGAGTATTGTAACCATAAAGAGGCCACTTTCATGTGCCAAGGTTGTCCAGAAACCAACCAACTGTGTGCTACATGTCGTGATATTCACGACAAAATTCCGTCTTGTAAGGGCCATTCGTTTGTACCGCTGTCACAAGTCGACATCTCAGTTAAGACAGGCAATATAAGAGAACAATTGCGCCACGTATTAGATAAAGTTCATTATTGCGACAAACACGACGGAGAACCACTGGCATTCTATTGTGAAGAGGATGACACTGTTATATGCAGGGAATGTATTATAAAAGTCCACAGCAAACACGATTTCAAAGAATTAGGGGATGTGGTGAAAATGCAAAGGGATCAAATACAAGAGAAGCTAAAACGTCTCCCTACTGAGAAACTGTCTCGTTTTGAGAAGGCGGAGAATACCATTGTACGAACTGAAGAGAGGCTGACAGAAAATCAGACAAAAGTTCTTCAATTGGCAGATTCTCAGAAATTAGCTATGACGAAGGAGATAAATGAAAACAGTAAAGCTATTGACATGGAAATCAACACTTATTATCAACAAGTAGATAAAGACGTACGTCAACAGACGGACGCTTATTTAACAAATGTCAAACAGTGTTTAGAAACCTATCGAAAAGAAAAACAGTCAAATTACACCAAAATGAAAAGAACTGTCGATGACAAAAACAATAAAATAAAGGCAGAAGTGAAGGCACTCACCTCCACACAGGTGAAAACTTTAGAAGCTGAAAAGGACAAGCAAGAAATGAACAAAGTTTCCATTCAGAGCATTCGTGATTTCGCTCAGCAGCTCACAGACACCGGTTCTGACATCGAGGTCATGACCCACTCTAAAAAAATCCTAACTAGAATACAGGAGTTACAGACAGTAGAACCAGTCTTTGATACCAAGATCATCGACATAACATTCACACCAGGCCAAACAGAAATGGACGATGTGCTACAACTTCCTAAAATTCCTGAACCACAGCTGTCCATCAAAACGGGGTCCATTACGGCCAAAACATACCGGGGTCCCTTGGATGCATATTTTGGAAGTTTAAAACAAAAGAGAGCAAACTATCCTGCGCTGAAGGAATTTCTGAGAGTAACCTGGCTTGATAAGCCGGTGCGGAATATTTGTTTTGACGTGATGGGTAGGCTGTGGGATATCCAGTGCACAGATGACGGTTGTATTTTAGTTTTATATTATGCTTTACGTAGTCCCCTGTACATTTTTCGTAATACATTTTCCGTATTCTCAAGCACAGGTCAATGTAATAGTGAGATCAGTATAGAGGGAGGGGCGAGGTATATCACTACAGTCAGTAAAGATAGATTCGTGGTCACATGCACAGATAAATGCTGTAGACTGTATTCAACATCAGGTCAGGTTATCCAATGTTTTGGTCAGGGTGATATGTCTGACCCCTGTGGTGTCACTGTGGACCGTACAGAGGGTAAGGTGTACGTGTGTGATAGTGCTGCACAGTGCATCTGTGTGTACGAAATGGCATCTTTTCAACTTGTTAACAGAATTCCTATCCCAATGTGCAGTAAAAGTCCACTGTGCTGTGCATACCACCACGGCATCAATGCAATCATAGTCAGCGACTACAGTGCCCACTGTGTGTAGGCAGTGACACCCCAGGGTGACGTCATGTTCCAATACGGAACACGAGGTCAGAGTGGAAGTGGAGACGGACAACTGAATTCTCCACGAGGAGTGTGCGTAGATAAGTTTGGACATATATTTATACCTGACTACGGTAATAACAGGGTGGTTGTCCTTGGTTCAGACGGAAAGTTTCAACGTAACATTTTGAGGAGCATTAAGAAACCTGTGTCAGTTGATGTCAACAGTAACGGGGAACTTGTTGTTGGAACTGAAGATGGAAAGATCAGAGGAACAATATCCACATATAAGTATATTAATGAGAATTGACTTATATAATTCGAAACTGTAACGATGTTTGAATCGTGATTAATATAACTGAGGAAATGTAATGAACACACCTTACAAATAGCCGCCACAATGTTTGTTGAAATTGTGCGGAAGTTCTCAATGAAGATGTGTGCATGAAGAGATACGAAGACATATGATTCAGTCAACTTTATCAGTTTAATTGAGCAGTCCGGTCTTTTGCAGATTAACATGAACCTTTTCTTTCATTTGCAGATGCGTTTTTTTTTCACTAACAGAATTAAAGTGTAAACAGTGGATTTCATTTTGACCTATGTATGATATTTTGTTTTCTTTTTTGCATTTTCATGTGAAATGTTTTAACATGCACATGATGTGTATAGAATGTAAAACAAATGATAAAGATAAGATTTTGCTGGTTATATGGAATGGCTTGATATTTTAGAAGTAAAATCTAACGGGTCTTCAAAATTTTAATTGCTTTGTTTTTTTTATTATTATTTTGTTTACCACTGAGGCTGAGTTTTTCAAAATGTAAATAAACGCAATCAACAGCAGAACAGTTTTTGTTTTCAGTTGTCTTCGCAAGTCGACGGTGAAGTCGCTCCGGACATTATCTAAAAACAGTGCGCAGTCTTGATTGGACTACGAAGTATAGTACCAAGTGAAAGGAAATACGAGCAGAACCTCAGCTTCCTCTCACCGGGCATAATTCTGTTTGTTTTTAAAATCAAAATACGCACAGGACTACCAGGACCCCAAAAGGGAGGGGTCGTGAGAGGGAGGGTCGCGAGCTATCTAAGACATTGTGGTTGAAAACAAAACCGTCTGCTAACTGCTTCACACACTACATTATCAAGTTGTCTAATATATAATTAAAAAGAAATATTGAATACAATTTTGAATTCATTCATTTTTATTTTTTGACACTTCAGCATGTGAAATGCACCTCTATATTGGGTTAGGGTGATTATCGTATGACGCTTACCACAGTGCAGACTGCTACTTCGCTTCACCCATGAAATTGACAAATCAAATATCCCTTTCATTATTGACTATTTATAAGAGAAAACCTTGGCATCTATGCAAATGTATTTCCCCAAATTTACTGCTGTAAAACGTGATTACAGTGTAGCAGGTGTCTTTTCATATTTTTATTTATCTGTTTAAACACTTCTGTATTTGATTATCTGTAAGAAAAGAACGTAAATACCCTGTGATAGGTAACGTAAATGAGACTGATTAAATCTTGCTATAACCTATAATGATTTTTAACTTCATCAATATAAATCCTTGATAATCCAAATATTTATATAGTACTTAACATTGGAAATCCATCGATATATCCATGTTCTCAGGACAAATCGATGGTGATGTGTATTATTTTGTCTACTGTGACCGATTTTAACTTTCTGAACAATTATAACAGACGGTGTCGGTAACAACGCTCTCTTTACACTATACACTATCGAGTAGGATATCCTGAAGTTTTATGATGCCCTTTTTTCTCTTCAATATATAAATGGTTACAAAAACGATATGCATCGGACTATTTATCGTATCGAGTTCCACACTTTTTAATTGGTGTTCCCAGTTTTCAGTGCGTAATTTGTGACCCGGGAGAAACAGTTTTTCCAAACTCTCTTCAGTTGCTAATATCTCGTGCACATACATGAGCTTTTTAAAAAACAGTATTTATCTTGCTTCGCTGGGCATTAAGCAAACAGCGTGGGTGATAACTAAGGATATAACTGATCCTTTCGTACACACCTATTACACATGTACATACATGTACGTCGTACACGCTGCAGTATAGATTGCCACGTCAATGAATTGACAAAATTACACCTGGCATTATTGATTTTTTCAAATCAAAAGTCTTGCTTAATATGTGATTATTTTTCAAATTCTGTGTCAATGCTAGTTGTACTGGTACTACGTTTGTCCAGTTACAGTGGTTAAATGTTGGTTTCACTTAAAAAATAACATTTGTAAATTTAAAGGGATAGCAACTGTTAATTTTGACCAAAAATGAATTTTCCTGTGGTAAAGGACAATTTCCCCATACTAACCAGTTTTAAATGAATCAATTCCCACTTTAAAAACTATCCCCTATTTTTTATTTTCTAAGAAGGTTTGCTTAGAGATTATTACAAAGTGTAGCCATCTATGGAGGTCACGTGATGTGATGGAAAGCACAAATTCCAAAATAACTGTGTTAACCGCCGTTATGGGGGCAAAATAGAATTTATTGAATTTCTATGAGTTATTTACAATGTACTTATTGTGAAATACAGATATCTTACGAACGGTAATTATCCCTTTTATATATTTGTGACAACAAAAGTAATCATACACCCTGTTAATCCAAAAATTGCAGCAGTTAACATTAAAAATAGACCCATTTCTCCATGTCTCAGGACAAATCGATGGTGATGTGTATTATTTTGTCTACTGTGACCGATTTTAACTTACTGAACAATTATAACAGACGGTGTCGGTAACAACGCTATCTTTACCACATACACTATCGAGTATGATATCCAGCAGTTTTATGATGCCCTTTTTCTCTTCAATATATAAATGGTTACAAAAACGATATGCATCGGACTATTTATCGTATCGATTCCCACATTTTTTAATTGCTGTTCCCAGTTTTCAGTGCGTAATTTTGCTGTACCCCGGGAGAAGCAGTTTTTCCAAACTTTCTTCAGTTGCTAATATCTCGTGCACATACATGAGCTTTTTAAAAGACAGTATTAATCTTGCTTCGCTGTGCATTAAGCAAACAGGTGGGTAATAACTAAGGATATAATTGATCCTTTCGTACACACCTATCACACATGCGCATGCATGTACGTCGTGCACGCTGCGGTATAGATTGCCTCGTCAATGAATTGACAAAATTACACCTGGTATTATTGATTTTTTCAAATCAAAAGTCTTGCTTAATATGTGATTCATTTTCAAATTCTGTGTCCCCTGCTAGNTTTTAATTGCTGTTCCCAGTTTTCAGTGCGTAATTTTGCTGTACCCCGGGAGAAGCAGTTTTTCCAAACTTTCTTCAGTTGCTAATATCTCGTGCACATACATGAGCTTTTTAAAAGACAGTATTAATCTTGCTTCGCTGTGCATTAAGCAAACAGGTGGGTAATAACTAAGGATATAATTGATCCTTTCGTACACACCTATCACACATGCGCATGCATGTACGTCGTGCACGCTGCGGTATAGATTGCCTCGTCAATGAATTGACAAAATTACACCTGGTATTATTGATTTTTTCAAATCAAAAGTCTTGCTTAATATGTGATTCATTTTCAAATTCTGTGTCCCCTGCTAGTTGTACTGCAAGAACTACGTTTGTCCACTTACAGTGGTTTTATGTGTGGTTATCACTCCAAAAAATTTAACATCTGTAAATTTAATATATTAGTGACAATAAAAGTAATCATACGCCCTTAGTAATCTAAATATTGCGGTGGTTAACGATAGAAAGATCGACTGATTTCTCCATTTCTCAGGACAAATCGATGGTCTTATGTATTGTTTTGTCAACTTTTCCTTTTTTCCACCTTCTGAACATTTTATACCACGTCGTTTGTGCTACTTATGAACAGACATTGGGCGGATCTTAAATCATCTTCATTACGTGGTGCATAAAATACTAGGTTCTAACAAACTAAAGCAATATATGAATGCACATTATTTTAAACAGCGATACACAGAAGCGGTTGGCTCATACATGTAGATAGTAATATAGCAGCAATGGCTTGAAAGAGCTCTGCTAGTCTTCAGTGAGAACT